GATGCAGTGCATTAGCTACCGTTTATCCAAACTGTTCAGTTACAGGCGAAAAATACCTGATGTGCCCTCATTGTGCTTCGGGCTTCTCTTGGGTTGCTGTAATAATGGCCGATTAATAAAGCCACTGGTACGCCCTCAGTGGGAAGGGGCATACTGTCACGCCACGCTGTAGGTACCTCCAAGGTCAGCATCAATAGCATCCTGAAGGTGGGTGCAGGCCCATTAGTGAGGGCTCCCGGAGGGCTCGCAGCAGGTGAGTAGCCCGCCCTTAATACGGTTCGAGGGGGCGCCCTAAGGAGCCCACTCTAGCCTGGAGATGCGAGGGACATCCGATGTCCCTTGAGAGGACTCTGGAACCGAGAAACCGCCGCTTTGATTTTTATGTCCGCGAGGTAATGGGGAGTCACCCTTGAAGTCTTCCCTCCGGGACACAGTGCCCACTCTCCCCCCTCCCCCCTCCCCCCCCCCCCACACCGAGGCGCCGCCCTCCAGCCCCAAATTCGTTCCTCTTCCCCTTGGCCTTTGGCCCGGCGCTGCCAAGCCAACGTTTCAGGCCCGATCCGCCGCCAGAACCCGATCCAGCTCAGCACCCACACAGGTGTCAGCTTGAGCTGACATTATGTAATGGATTTGGCAACCGGGGCTCTTACCAAACGGAATTAAGGAGGGTGGGGTTTTCTCTTTTCTTTTCCTTTTTCTTTTGACTACATCTGGTGTCAGGTGGACTTGATCCGTGGCAGCAGGTGTTTTTTGCAGGAAAACACCAAGCGGAATGGCGGCCCTGGTCAAAGCACTCCCAGAGAAGGGCCCGAGGCAGGCCTGGGGGCCCTGTGCCCAGCCTCCAGCTCCCCTTCCAGAGCGGCTCACCTGAGGTGGTCCTCCGCAGCCTCCGCGGGGGCTGGCTGAAGTCCCGGCGCGAGGGGCGTGCGGGAGGTTGCCTCTGCTCGCTCTGTTTTCTGGTCAAGCCCCTCTGGTAAAAACTGTGGGCTTCCAACCTATAACTATTTGCCTTTTATTAGCTTACAGATCCCCCTGCGTGTGTGGCTGAGTGTAAGGACGGAATATCAGGGGATTCTAAGTAAAATACCGTCGCAGGTGACAGGGAGCCCCGCCTTCTTGTCGGTAGTTTCACCTGAAAGCCAGTTCGGCGGGAGCAGATCTCTAAATACCAAAGCCAGCCAGTTCGGGATTTTTGATAAGGACTCCTGCTCAATAGAATTTTGAAAACATTGTACCAATTTTGGTACGCTGTAGAAGGGGATTGCATATAATGAATGACAGACTCCATTTTGCTAGACAGAAACGAAAGAAAATTTAGGAAAGGTGGCATCTCCCTTTCCAAACCTTCAGTTTACTTGTGGACCTCAAATAGTTGTCTTCAATGAATTTAACGCCAAGGGCTGGTTTGAACTATAAAAAACCTTCAGGAGGGTTTGCCCCTTAAAGGGCCAAATGCTAGATTTGGGGTATTGGGCTTCACCGGGAATGATAAAATAGCAAATAATGTTTAAGTGACCACCTCCAAGGTTAAATCTGAATCTCCGTGTTCAGTACCAAAAGGACTAATTCATATCATTAAAGATGATGTGAAGGTTGAAAGCAAAGGCTGGGAGAGTTGACAGTAACTGTGAAGACAGTGGCCAGGGGCTGGGTGTCCAAATGGTTATTTACAGGAGTTTTGGGCAAATATCCCAACTCCTTAATTTGGACTCATGAATTCAACTGAGAACTCACAAAGACTTGCGTTCCAAGCACACAAATAAAAATCTTTCTCTCTCTCTAGAGAACCTCTCATATACAGAGGTCAAGCTGCCAGGTAAAGCTGGCCAACCCTTTACAGCGATATTTACCAGACCCTGGAGGTCCCATGGCCTCTGTGTTAATTGTAGCATAACTTCAGCAATGACTACCTAAAAATGAGATTTTTAAAAAATCTAGTGAAAATAAGAAGGAAGAAGAGGAATATCTGTAGGGAAATTTTTAGAACAAAGTTTAACCTGGCTCCATTAAACATGCCATGGTCAAAAATATTTAGTAGTGAATTCTTGCTTTCCTTGGTGCTGCAGAAGCCACTGATTGTTACCACAAGAGCTGTTAGCAAAAAGAATCAGGAAATAGCATCCCCACCCCCACTCTTCTTTTGAAAGGCACAGGAGTTTCTTCACGAGTTCTCTTTGCTGGATCTCATCAGCAAGCTGAAGATCCTGTAGTGATCTGGGAAGGGACCAGCCCTGACACGCAGCCGTCTGTTCCTGGGAGGAACTTGGAGATACAACTATGATCTCATGTCAAAAGGACAAAATGATTTTGCCCAGAATCAGGTTGTTTTCAAGTTACCTTTCGGGTCTAACCACATGGTAGTTAGAAAACTGATAAACATACAGTGTAGTCTCGAGTGAACCAGTTTCCTTTTGGGGTTTTCCTTGAGTCCTCTTAAAGGGTCCCAAACCTTTAAAAGGGGCAGGCCTACATCGTTGGGCCATTGGTGGCTATAGGGTGTTGAATTCAGGCACTGGGGGCATTTTGCTAGTAAGTAAGATGAAATCTTCAAGGTTGTCAAAAAAGATTTAGTAGGGAAAAAAGAAAAGTAATTTATAAAGTTGACTCCTTAAAATATAAAGAAGAAAACTTTTACACAATGTTAAGCCTTATTTAAGCATAACCAAAATTTCCTCTATCATCTTCTACCTAACAGATAATCCATTACTTTCTTTTACATTAATTGTTCCATATCTCAGAGCTGTACTTTGTTGAACCCGCTCCCCCCTCCCCCAGAGACCCAAACCTGAGGCCTCAGGATTAGAAGCAAATAGTGGCTAATACTTTCAAAGAAAGAAGCAAATTCCCTAAAATTCTCTTCAACAAGCAGAGCACTTTAATTATTAAGCAATTGTTAAATAATGCAAAAATGAGTTCTTTCTCCATTATACCATTGTACTACAGCCTGAACGTTGCCCTTATACAAATACCCACTTCTAAGTGCACGGCTGATCCACGGAGAGTGTACTCTCATCCTCAGAAACCAAGCTCCAAACCGCGCTGGTGCGCGACAGCTGGGGTGCTGATGTATGCGGTGTGCGCTGGCAGCATAGCGACCCACTTGTGCAGGCTGGGCTGGGGTCTGAGTACTTCCTACTTCCTCTCCTATCACCGCTCTGCAAAAGAATTTTTAAAACTCAGACTGCACACCGGCTCCTTTTGCTGAGGGGAAATATTTTCATTTGCCTACAAAGAACAGTTTTTCAAGAGCCACTTCGTTTGCTCCATTTTCTTTCAAAACTATGGTGGGAACAAACTAGCAACATTTTATCATCCTTATTCTGGAACAAGATTTGGCAGGTAAATGGGTTCTAAAACACACCAAATGTCGAGCAGTTTAACATTCAGAGATTTTTGTATGCTGCAGATAGATCTATAGCAATAATAATCCCTTAACTAACTATACAAATGCATTGTTCACCCAACCATCCAGTGGTCTCACTGCAGTGGGAGAAGGAGGGTGGTTACCGTGACATCATTGCTATTATTTAAATTAAACTGCTATGGTAGAATATAATTGTTAATAAAAGCCTTCTTTTCCCCGCCCCTCAAGGTTTCCCCTCCCCCTCTGGTATTTTATGACGTGCCATCCACGATAAATATAAGCAGAATTATGTCGATCCTGGTAGCCTGTTCTGTAACTGTAATGTCGCGTCTACAGGTCAGCAAAGAAATGCGGAGGATAATTACCTTCTTTAAAGAATACTTTGAGAAAATACACTTTTTTTATTAGTTTAGGGTGCTTGTGTTCAAACTTTTCTCTTTACAAATGTGTATGCGTATATACAGAGAATTCTATAAACGCTTGTGCACACCCTCTGTAGTATTCCTGTGTTTGTACATTAAATGCTGCCATGTAATCATTCCATTGGGCGGGCTTAATGCATTTAACAGAACTAATGGGTCGTCTGTGCTGAAAAGCATGCTCCTATTTTTTAATCCCGTCACGTAATAAAACGGTTTTGTACCAGTCTGAGACTTCCACCTTTACCCATTATAGATGCTCTTGTCCCAGAAAACCCTTTCAACAACTTTTGGTTCCTGTCTATTGCTAAAACGTCCCCCTTCTTTCTATGTAATTTTCCTTTATTTTTAAAGCCTATTTTCGTGTTTAATAATAATAATAACAGACAATCCTTGCAGTATAAGAAACTCGGTTGAAATGATCCAGTGAGCTCCCGCTTTGGTCCTTGCTGCTGAATCTCAAATACTGGATATGATCCTACTTGGTCGTGGGCTCCAAGCTGCAGGAGACCGAAGCCACTTTTTCGTGCCGGGATTTCACCTTCTTTCTAGCCTGGAGTGTGTGCGCGCGCTACACACACACACACACACACACACACACACACACACACCCCTCCCCGTAAAACAAGCGGAAGGGGTGCCCCAAATGTGAACAGAGACGCGGGACTGAGGCTGAGCCTGGGAGGTGGGGAAGCAGCCCGTGCGAGCGTCGCCCGCACCAGGGGCTCTGGCTAAGGTGGGCGCCGGAGATCTGGGTGAGGACGCGCGGGGACTGCGCGGGCTTCCAGCTCTTGTCTGAGACGCAGGCGAAGATGGCTAGGTGCCCGGCAATGAAATCAAAGTTCCGTGGAGCTTGGAATCCCTAGATAGCCACCCCTGTCCGGGCGGAGGAGAGCCCTCCACAGTCCGAGCTTAAGCGTGGAGCGGCCTCTGGCGCTCAGTCGGCTTGGGTAGTAGCCTGAGAAGGGGGTCCCGCGGCGCTTTTGTACTGCCCCGCCTTGGCCAGCCGCGATCTGACGCACCGGCTCCCCCGGGACGCTGGGGGCGTCGCACTGCAGCTGGGTGGGGAGCAATTTATTCCTCGCCGTCCCATCCCAGCCCATCTTCGGTTACTCCACCCTACCCCTCCCATCCCTCCACCTCCTCCTCCTCTTCCTCCTCCTCCTCTACCTAAGCCTTCACTACCTCTGATTCTCCACCTCCTCTTCGTTCTCCTTCCTATTTCTCTCTCCCCTCTCCTCCCTCCCGCCTCCCTTCCCTCTCCCCCCTCCCTTTCTCTTCTGAATAAGCAAGCTTTTGCTTCTAAAAGTCACAAGTAATCCTCGTGTGTGACAGAGAGAGAGAGACACACACACACGAGCCTGCCGAGAGGAGCTGCAGGCAGGAGGGGAATCTGGCACAACGGCTGGGAGAGGAAACTTGACGCTTCTGGGCCACCATTTGCCAGGGCCTCGCTCGAGGTAAGTACTCTGGGGACAGCGGAGTTCGATTCCTGGCAGGGTCCAGCCTTCGCTCGTACCCCAGGCCCGAGAGATGGGTACCATTACCTGGGGCTACTCAAATAATGATGAAAATGGGGGTGGGGTGAGAGCGGGCGGGCTGGGGGGTGGGGGCGGCGGGCAGGGTTCCAGCCGGAGGGCGGGGGCCAAGAGGATTCTGTGCGCCTCGGAGGCTGAACTCCGGGTTCTTGCCCTGGGGCACCCTGTGCGTCCTGCCAGGGTTCCAAGCGACTACGAGAGGCTGCCAGCTACCCGATTTCCCTCTCTGTGCTGCGCGTTCCCACAGCTCCCCTCTTTTACACATTCGCGTGCAAATGAGATCCTGCTCTGTCGTGAAGGGACAATCTGAGCCTCGTTCAAATCCCGGAAAGGGAAAGTTTGGCAAGGCGGGGGCTGCGCAGCGCTGCGGTTCCCTGGAACCTAAATTGGGAACCAGAGATTTGCGCAAGAAATTGATAGTTTTCATTTTTTTTTCCTGTTAAAAAAAATTACCTTTAACGAAAAATTGTATGTATTCAAAAGATTATTGGATTACTATGCTTGATCAGGTGCTGATTACCTACCAATAAGCGTTTTAAACACACGCACATCCTCGCGCGCACACATACAGACACACCAAGGACTATGTGCGGTCGGGAAGGCCATCATAAGTAACCAAGAATTCAGAGTCGCGAGGGCTGTTAAACGTGTAAAGATTGTGTACGTGTCCTCCATGTGTGCAGAGAGCAGAGGGAGGGGGCTGAGGGAGCACGCGTTGGCTCGGCGTTTTCTCTGTGCCTGTGTGTTTCGTGTGTTGTCAGCTGGCTTAGGTTTCTAAGCGCTGAACGCTGCCAGGGGCGGGGGCCGGCATCCACCATCCACCTCGGCACCCTAGTGGCGAAACAGGACTCATTTGTTTGGTGCAGAGCGGTGACGACCTAGAAGAGACTAAAGTGTGGTTAGGTCGGCCCCCTGCCATCCATTACACCTGCGGCAGATGGCTCAAGTGGTAGAATGGTTTTGTTTGCGGGGATGAAGGAGGGAGGAGCGGGAGGCTAGAGCCTCGCCCCATTCTAAGGAAGTACCATAAAGAACCAAAGACATGAAAGAAGCCATATTCGTACCATCAAAAGCAATAATGTTACCGCAGTCCATGAGTGAGCCTGGGACATGTTACTGACCTTGGCGCCTGACCCCAATTGATGAGATGGCAGAATTTTAGGACCAATATATTTTCAGATGAATTTTTGATAAAGCACCTCCTTCTTCACACACACACACACACACACACACACAGAAACACAACACCTGTCTCCCACCAGATGCACACAGGTGAACTTGGAGCTCTTGGCTCCCTGGAGCCAAACGTCATTGAGCCCCTGCAGATTTCACTGTAGCTGAAAGGGAGGCCACTCCAGAGGCAGGGAGCCTCTCCTTTCTCCCCAAACGATTTTTGCAATCAGCCTGCCAGCTACAACACATAAGCCTCCCCTCCCCAGATAACCAACTAGCTGGGATTTAGCTGGATACATTTCTAATGTATCCATCTCTTTTTCACATACAGTGATGTGCCTTTCTGAGCAATGTTCTCATCCGTGCATCCCTTTCTTCCTTCATGCTCCTCAACAAGCAGGAAAGGAAGTGCACACACACACACACACACACACACACACATCCTCCCTAGGCGAGCCCTGAGGAGGGCAGGTGTGACAAAGGAACATAGATACAGTCTAATGATAGCTTAGCCTGTCTTCATTCCTTAATTTTCTAGCTAAGAAACAGGAGTTAAAAGAGAAATATAAAGAAGACCTAAATAGAATGAAAAGCCTCATCTCCACCTTTAGTTCACACACACATCACTGTAACAACCATGGATATATATATATATATAGATAGGTAGAATATAGAATTTATATTTATATGTAATATATATTATATATAATATAATAGTATGTAGGTATTCATGTTGTGGAATAAGAAACAATTTCACTGGCCTAATTTTCTGTTCTCGATATAATTAGGGTTTAATATGCTAATGCTTTGATTGTGATTAGGTATACAGAGAATTTCCACCATTTTGACACTTAAGTCCTATTTTTCTATTTTCCTTAATGATAAGCCAATAATTTTTAGATTCAATAAAACTGAAGAATATCAAGCAACAATGAGAACTCATTCTAGCTAAGATTTTCAAGTCACAAATAAAGCTGCATTCTAGAAACCTAATTCTTCCCAAGAAAGGGAAAAACATTTCAACCTCTACGTTTTTCAAGATGCTTTCAATACCCAGAGCCACCTCTGAAGTGGATTTGGTTGATGGGTGTTTGTCATGTGCCCAGTGTAATTTAATTTTTCTGTGATCATTTTCTTTTCCTATGAAGGTTTCCATTTTAGGAGAAGAAAGTTGAGTTTGATATGTGCAGTGGGGTGCAGAATTCATTGAGAGAAATGCCATTAGGATATAGTTCTATTTTATTCATTATTAGTAATACAGGTTTGTTCATACGCTATACAAACTGATAAGGGCCTGCTCCGGGATGTGAATTCATATGTTTTCAGAACACATTCAGATACATTTGCAGGATAAAGAAGAAGAAGAAAATATTGCAAACAGTTGAGAAGTGGCCTTCTTGAGCATTTTAGAGAGTTTTTCAAATAAAAAAGAGGAAGAGATTGAATCTAAAACTCTTCACATTAGAGGCACTAAGAGATTCCAATCTTATTTAAATAAATCAGAATTAGTAAAACTTTGCAATAGTAGAGAATGCAGACAAAAATCTAGCCCTAACAATACTTCTTTCCCCCTTTTCCTCAAAACACTTTATTATTTTAAAATTTTTAACTTTATTCAACTTCATTTATTTATTTATTTTGAAAGTAGGCTCCACACCCAATATGGGGCTTGAACTTAGGATCCTGAGATCAAGAGTCACAGGTGCTACAACTGAGCCAGCCAGGCACCCCTCAAAACACTTTAGAAACCCTAGTTTCAACAAGTATCTAAAGCTAAGTAAAATAATTTTCAGGATGAACTCGAACTTTCTATGGAAGTTTTTTAAAATTCTGCAATATTAATGAGCGATATTTTAAATAGAAAATTTCTAGGATGCATATTAGTTCAAATACCCCAGTTTCTCTAGGAAAAGAAATATATATTTTAATACTTAGGTGAGTTAACACCCGAATCACACTAAATCATGTTTCTTAGGCCCAGGTGAGACTCAGAACCCAAAGCAGGAAACCTGAGGTATCTAAGAGAGAAGTGGCTAAGATCCCTCTTTCCTCCACCCTCTGCTGGGACCACCTCCTTTTCATAAGAAAAGACAATTTGCTTGAACAGAAAACACTAAGAGAAAGTAAATCTGCAATACGTGAGTTGGTTTCTTCCCATCCTCATACTTACTAGGTTTTCCTCAGTCCCTGCCACCCCTTGGCATCCTCTCCCACCCTTCTCCACCAAAGCCAACAATCGAAGCATTTACATTTATTTATATGTAGCAAGATCTATAAATACCCTTAGGTCTCGAAAATATCTCCACCACCCCAAATTTGCTTTTACTTCCGGCGTAATTAAGAAGATCGTAATTCTTAAAGAAAAACCACCCAATCTCAATCCCCGGGAGCGGTGAGGGTGCTCTCAAGGTGCAAGAGGCTGGCGAGGAGGAAGGCTCGGCGGGTCTGCGTTCCGGGAGCCAGCCACTGACTGTGAGTCTGTGTCCTTGACTCGCACATTTCCCCTCTTAATGGAGGAAAATGAACTCTCCTAGGTTCCTAATTTGCAAAGATACCATCTTTAGTCAGCGCTGAAATAGGAGTGGTGGAGAAGAGGCCTGGGTCATGAACCCGAAGAGGTCAGGGCTCCAGCCTCTGCCTGAGTCTCTCATAAAACCAGGAACTGTAGTCAACTGCACTGAGGGTCCCTTCGGTATCCAGAAGAAAGAACCTCAGGGGGGTGGAGCCTGTGTGCCCGCATGAGTGTTCAGTCCCATCCTACAATCCCCTTGAGTCTCTAGAAGCTCAGGCTTTGCCTTCCCGGAGGCAGGCGAGGCCTAGAGGGGCAGGCCGAGCCTTGGGTGCAGATTCTTGTGGCCTCGCAAATCCAACGCTGCCGGGCACCCCCAGCCCAGGGCCGCCCCGACGGCCCCGATGCCGTGCCCACGCGGCCAGTAGGTGTCGCTATTCCCCTGCTGGCCGGAGCCAGGAGCCCCGCGCTGGCCCCCAGCGCCACTCAGCCTTCCGTGCCCGGCAGGTTCACAGACCCACCAGAGCTCCCGAGAGAGGGCCGCTACCCATCTGGGACTGTCCCCTCTCTCACCTGGCCATGGCCGTAGCGACAATGACCGGCCTACGGGAGCGCCTTGGGGGAGAGAAGGAAGAGAGGGGTCTGTTGGGGCGAACGCGGGGCCCCGACGGAAGCTGCTCGAAGCCACAAACTCTCCCTCCTTTCTCTTCTCTTCACGTGCCGTGGGCAGCGACCGGGCACAGGGAGTATCCTGGTAAAATCCCGAGCTGGGGGATTCAACCGGGGCTCCAACCCCGGCTCCACGGTGGCTTTAAAAATGAGGTTGAAATCCCAGCTTCGAGGGAGCTAGCCACACAAAGAGTGGATTGGTTTCAACTTCTTGCCTCCAAACAATTAGGAAAAGAAGGAAACCTGGGCCTGGCCACTTGCGTGAGCTACATACCATCTTGTGCACACGTCTGCACGCAGAAATGCCGGGTAATCGCGACCGCCCCTCTCCCCTGGCTCAGGAAGGAGTCAGTATTTGGATGTGGTTGGCTTCTCCCAAAGCATTGCTTGCCAAATATCATCCCCTTTCGGAAACCTAGCAGTTGGCACGTCTTTGGAATCTGTATTGAAATTCTAGGTATTGAGAATTCTGCGCCCTTCTCTGGCGTCCTGCGGCTGCCTGCCTTCGGCCTCGGTGTGCCGCGTAAGAGATTATTAATCAGAAGCGTTCTTTTTGTGTGTGTCTGAAAAG